GACTGCAGGCTCAAGGCCAGCCTCAGCAACTTAGTGAGGCTCAAAGTAACTTAGCAAGATCCTGTCTAAAAAAAAAAAAAATAAAAAGGACTGGGAGTACATGTCAGTGGTAAAACACCCCTGGTTTCAATTTCAGCACCCAAAAAAAACCCAAAAAACAAAAACAAAAAAAAACAAAACCAAACTTGGATCTGACCCTTTCTGTCTATCCTGTAGTTCAGAGACCTCAATTGTCTTATGTCTGTATTACCAAATTTTTAAAATTGGTCTCTTCTGTCCCTCTCAGAGTTAGCTGTGAACTTTGAAAACAGTATGAGGCAGAGAAGGAAACAGAATCAGAGAAAACTTTCTGGCTTTTGTTTTCCAAAGAGCCAAGGAGCCCAAGGGAAGATCAGTGGGTTTTCGAAGGAAAGAAGATCATTCTCAGGTATAGATAATATTTAGGGGCAAAAATAGAGCTCCTTGGTGGAGAAAAAGAACAAAGGAGGGTCCTGAGGGTCCCTGATCACCAGGGACCCTGGTTCTGATTCCTAGGAGGCAGCAAATCCCCAGGGAAAAATGTGTGCTGACTGGTCTAGGCTGGGTGACTGACAGGAAGACTCACTCACAAAGGATGCCTGGATCCCAAACATGACACAAAGGTAACAGACATTGCTGGGTCCAGAGGGACCATGTGGGCAGGGCTAGTGGTTTTATGAATGATACCACTGTCAGATGAGAACACTATCACTCCCAGCCCTGTCCCCTTAGTGATCTTGGCACTGGGTGAGACCTTGGAGCTCTGAGCACCCCCCCTCCCGCATCCCCCACCCCAGGTCCCATGGATGAAAAGAAAAAGAGATGTGAGCCTCAGAGGCAGGTAAGTTACTTGCCCAAGATCACACAGCTGCTTACAAGTGGCGGAGCTAGGTCAGGCCTGGTTGTGATAGCAGACCTGAAGCAGCTGTGGGGGGTGAAGGAGCCCCCATGCAGATGGACACAGCCCCAGCTGCCAAGACTCCTCCCAACTCAAAGAGCCTTATGACCATGCCAGACCCCAGTCTCCTCATCTGTGAAAAGGAGGTACAACACCTACCTACCCGTTAGGGCCTCTGGTAAGCCTGAGATAAGATCATGGAGATGAGATAAATCGTACTGTACACATGTCCTGGTTTGGGAATAATATCAGGAAGAAGCATATTAACAATGAGCATTTTAACCACAGCCCAGAGGCCCTGCTGGACCCTGGAGGGCTATCAGTTCCTGGAGGCTGAGCTCTGATGCCCCGTCTGAGTACAGCTTGCTCCCCTCTCCTGGAACAACTTACCCACCCTCTCCTTCCCTTGCACTTTTCCTGTGCAAACTCCTATTGATCTGGTCTCAATGGAATATATCATCTTCTCTAGAGGAACTTCCTGGGTCACTCCCCATCTAAACACCTGGGTGACACACTCCTCTGGGCAGTCCTGACATGCACTGCTCCGTTAGCACGGAAATGTCCCATTCACCAGCCCGGCAGTCCCTCTGCTCTTCCGTCATCTCTACTTCAATTAAACTAGCAAGATCCTTAGAGTGGTGTCTATGTGTGCCCAATTTAAAATCGGGATCATGGCCTGATAAGTCCATTGGAAATTGAAAATATCACCAGAAGCAGGGGTGCACATCTGTAATCACAGAGACTTGGAAACTAAGGCAGGAGGATTGCAAGTTCAATACCAGCCTCAGCAATTTAGGGAGACTCTAAGCAATATAGCAAGACCCTGTCTCTAAATAAATAAATAAAGGGCTGGGAATGTAGCTCAGTGGTAAAGCACCCCTGAGTTCAATCCTCAGTACCAAAAGAAAAGAAAGAAAGAAAAGAAAATATCACAAGCAGAAAACACATTTAATAACTTCCTACCAGATCTTTTTGGCGCAGTGCTGCAGCACGGTGTGGAGCAGCAGCTGTTTCGCCGCTCAGTGTTGTAGCCACCAGGAGCTCTGGCAGCTCTGGCTCCTTGCCTCAGCTCAGCATCGAAAGATAGTATGGTTCCGCCTATCGCTATCCCTGGAAAAGATGAAAATGCAAAATTCATAATATGGCTTGTACTGAATGTGCATCGCTTCTCTGTTCCGACTTAAGATTTTTCAATTTTGTGATGGTGCAAATGTGTACCTCTACTAGGCTGGGGATGTGGCTCAGCAGCAGAGCGCTTGCTTAGCTTGCCAAGGTGGGAGAGTTCAAGCCCCAGAATCTCAAAACCAAACCAAACCAAAAAAGGCTGGGCTGGAGTTGTTGCTCAGCAGTAGAGTGCTTGCCTAGCCTATGTGAGATGATGGATTCGATTCTCAGCACCACATATATATATATTTTTTTTTTAATAGAGAGAGAGAGAGAATTTTTCATATTTATTTTTTAGTTCTCGGCGGACACAACATCTTTGTTTGTGGTGCTGAGGATCGAACCCGGGCCGCACGCATGCAAGGCGAGAGCGCTACCGCTTGAGCCACATCCCCAGCCCCTCAGCACCACATATAAATAAGTAAATAAAACAAAGGTCTATCAACAACTAGAAATATTTAAAAAAGAAAAAGAAAAAAAGGCATGGTGGCTCACACCTGTAATCCCAGGGGCGGACGGGGGTGTGCTGAGACATGAGGATCTCAAGTTCAAAGCCAGTTTCAGCAATTTAACAAGACCCTATGGAACTTAGTCAGACCCTGTCTCAATAAATAAATAAACAAACAGACAAACAAATAAATAAACTAAGGCTGGCTGGAAAAAGGACTGGGAGTATGATACCTTTACAGAGAAGAGAGGAGTAGATGGAAAGAGGAGACAGAAGGAATGAAATGGAGTACACTAAATTTCATACATGTATGATTATGTCAAAATGACTAATAAAAGCATAAAAAAATTCATTGAAAACAAAAAATGGGGGCTGGGATTGTGGCTCGGTGGTACAGTGCTTGCCTAGCACATGTGAGGCACTGAGTTTGATCTTCAGCACCACATAAAATAAATAAATAAAGGTATTGTGTTCATTTACAACTAAAAAAATTTTTTTTTAAATATATGTCTAGGGGTTGGGGTTGGGGCTCAGTGGTAGAGCATTTGCCTAGCATGTGTGAGGCACTGAGTTTGAGTCTCAGCACCACATATAAATAAAATAAAGGTCCACTTACAACTAAAATAAATATTTAAAAAAATGTATCTCTACAACTTTCAATAAGTTACATGAGTCATCTAATATTTTCTTATAAAATAGGCTTTGTGTTAGATAGACGATTTTTTTTTGCCAAAATGGAAGCTAATGTAAGTGTTCTGAGCACATTAGACAAGTCCAATCTATGATGTTTGGTAACTTGGGTATATGAAATGCATTTTATCTATTTATTTTTGTTCTGGAGAATGAACTCAGGGATGCTTAACCACTGAGGTACATCCCCAGCCCTTTCTATTTTGAGACAGGGTCTCTGCCAAGTTGCTGAGGTGTGCCTGCGATCCTGCTGCCTTAGCCTCCCAAATTGCTGGGATTACAGGAGTGCAACACCACCCCTGGCTTTTAAGTGCTTTTCTGGGGGCTTATTAGGGATTGATTTAGGGGTACTTAGCCATTGAGCCACACCCCAGCCCTTTTTTCCCCTATTTTAAACTTTTTAATAGATTTTACATCTGATTTCTTCCACAATCAAAATGTTGTATATTTTTTTTGAAGTTTTATAGTTGTACATTTAGGCTTAAGATCCCATTAATTTATGTAACAGCTTAAGATATGGACTAACATTCAATCTTTTCGTATGGCAATCCAATTTCCCAGCATATTTTGTTGAAAGGACTTTCTTCAACCTACTTAAAATAGATATATTCATC